CATCTATGACACAGAGGCCTTGCACCGCTACATTGAAGGCCTGAAGCCAGCCGTGGCTGCCCATCTCATACATGGAAACCCGGCGACGCTCGACGAAGCCATCTCTTTGGCGGAGCACTTCGACGGCTCCTATAGCGAAGCAAGCCCGTTTCGCGGTCGCGGCCAAGTCCTCTCCGGCCCGCACTCTTTGGCGACGTCGTCAGCCAGCAACTTACGAGCTGCTGACAGCCCAAGCTTGTCCCCCTCCGGCCCGACCCCTGTGGAGGTCGAAGCAGCTGAGCAGCAACGGCACTCGCAGCAACAGTTCCGGCAGAAACGCAACGGCCAAGCAAGTGGCCTTTCTACCAAGCAGTGCATCGCCGAAGGTCGCTGTTTCCGCTACTATGGGTTCGACCACATGGGCAAGGACTGCCCCAAGTTCCCGGATCCGCCCACAAGAGGCAATGGCGGTAACGGCAAGGGCAGCGGCGGCAACGGCGGCGGCTCCTTCTTTTCGAAGAACAAAGGCCGTGGAAAAAACTAGTTCGACCAGCAGACGCGCCCACTCCTGCTGGTGGCCTAGTTGGCGACGATTCTTTGCCATTAACTTCTTTAGTTAATCCCGCGGACGACCATTGCGACGAGGGTTCCTCTTTGGTCCCCGACCCCCCTCCATCATCATATACTAGTGTAGACGTTCTGTCCTCCTTACCTAGTAGCATTTTTGCAAATAAAGACGATCCTTTTATTTGTAATATTGCACCTTCCCATGCTTTCTCTTTAACAGACGCTACTGTTCATATGCGAGAATTAGAGTTTGCTAGACATATCTTGATCCGACGAAATGGCTTTATTAGTGGGCACAAAGCAAGGATTTTGATTGATAGCGGGGCAACACATGATTTTGTGACGGCTGAGTTCCTGAAACAAACAGGACTCATCTCCGTAACTCAATCAACACCTGGCTCTTTCGTAAAAGTTGCCGACGCACGAACAACCGATTCAACATGCTACTTGGACGCAACAGTAGTAATGGACGACTTTTCAACACCTATTCGCCTTTTTTCGGGAATACGCAGCGACGACCATGACGTTATTTTGGGAAAAAGCTGGCTGTATGACGAAAACCCGGAAATTGACTGGCGTACGAATGACGTTCACCCACGACCACCACCTACACCAAAGGAAATACAATACGTTTCTCATTATACTGGCAACAAACTCGTTAATGACGTTACTGATGACGGTTTTGTTGTATTATGTGCAGAGAAAATTATGGTCGACGGCGATCGTGTTTTTGTTCCTGGACTTGACGACGTATTGGAAAAATACGAAGATGTTTTCCCAGACGACGTTCCCAACGGTCTACCACCTAAGCACAGTGTCGAACACGCCATACCTTTACTACCAGACGCCAAAGTACCAGCTCATTGTATGTATCGCCTTTCTACGCATGAGTTGGCTGAGCTCAAGAAAACGCTCGACGACTTGCTGGCTCAGGGTTAGATTCGACCGTCGACGTCACCTTACGGTGCTCCTGTCCTGTTCGTCGCAAAAAAGGACAAGACTCTGCGTATGGTGATCGATTATCAGTCCTTGAACAAGACGAGTGTGCTATCCAAATGCGCTCTACCGGCGTGCGAAGATCTCATGAACCAGCTTCTTGGGGCGCGCTATTTGAGCAAGCTTGACCTCCGCTCCGGCTATATGCAACTCCGGGTCAAGGACGAGGATACACACAAGACGGCCTTCTTGACGAGATATGGGCTTTACGAGTACTTAGTAATGCCCTTCGGCCTATCATCGGCGCCCGCTACCTTTATGCGTTTAATGTCGGACGTGTTTTGGCCATATCTCGACGTATTCGTGATTCTCTACTTGGACAATGTCTTGATTTACTCCAAGACGGCTGAGGATCACGTCAAGCACTTGAAGTTGGTGTTGGAAAAGTTGCGACACCACAAACTGTACGCGAAGCGGTCGAAATGCCAGTTTGGGATGCGCTCAGTCGAATTTATTGGCCATATTGTTTCAGGCGACGGCATCAAATGCGACCCATATAAGCTCGACGCAATTTCCACCTGGCCACGACCAACGAAAATTGCTCATATCCAGAGTTTTTTAGGCCTGTGTAATTTCTTTCGACGCTTTTGTGATGGATATGCTGGCCTCACTGCCCCTCTCAATCGCTTACTGCGTAAGGACGTTCCTTGGGAGTGGGATGATGCTTGTGAAAGATCCTTTCAGGAACTCAAGCGACGTTTATGTTCCGCGCCGGTGCTTGCAATCCCGGATCCCGACTGCCACTTTTACGTACACACGGATGCTTCATCAACGGTGTCAATTGGTGGTATCCTCTCACAGGAGCAGGACGACGGTTTATTGCATCCGGTTGCTTATGCTTCGAGGACGTTGAAGGGCGCAGAGATGAATTACCCGGTTCACGAACAAGAACTTTTGTCAGTGTCGTACTGTTTAGAACAACGGCGACATCATCTGGATGGTCAAAAGCTCACAGTGTTCACGGACAGCCGCGCCATCTCGACGTTACACGCCAACAACAAGAATCTCTCCAAGCGTCAGATCCGCTTGTTGAAAAAGCTGATGGCCTATCAGTTTGACGTGCATCATATTCCTCGAGAACATAATACTGGTGCTGACGCTCTATCAAAACGACCGCCCAACACTCCTTCTCACCCCGACGTCTCAATGGAACTTTGTGCTGCGGTCCTCACAGTGAGGGGGGAGACGCTTGGTAAGGAATGCACTCAGCACTACAAGGACGATTCTTTTTGGGCAGACGTTTTGACTCAGCTTCGGACGAACGGCGACGACGAAGAGTTCGAACTAGCCGACGGCATCATCTATCGCAAAAAAGATAGACGACGCCAAATCTGTGTGCCGCGCATGCCAACGCTTCTCAACGCCCTCTTGCATGACGCACACGACGCACCAATCGCCGGTCATCGTGGCATCGATGCAACGGTCGAACGACTTGGACGAACTTACTACTAGCCACATATGAACAAAACAGTGCGACGTTATATTGCGACGTGTGACATGTGCCAGCGTACCAAGTTACCAAATGCCAAAAAAGCAGGCTTGTTGCAGCCATTGCAACTAGCTTCTGGATGATGGACCTCGATTTCGGTTAATTTTATCACACACTTGCTGAAGACGCTACATAAGTTCGATGCAATTGCCGTTTTTGTGAATCGGTTTTCAAAGCGCGCACATTTTGCTCCATGTAAGACGACTGATACAGCAGAGGATTTTGCTCATCTGTTTTCGCGTGAGATATACCGACAGCACGGCTTACCATCAGACGTAGTCTCGGATCGAGATGTCCGCTTTACTTCTAGATTCTGGAAGGCCTTGACGACGATGCTTGGGGTACAAAGAAATTTGTCCAGCAGTCTACACCCAGAATCAGACGGACAGACGGAACGCACGAATCGAACGCTTGAAGATATGCTTCGTCATTACGTTGCATATAATCAATCGGATTGGGACGAATGGCTGCCAGTCCTCGAGCACACCTACAACGACGCCAAGCACGCTTCTACAGGGGTAACACCCTTTTACGCTGACTTGGGACGACAGGTGTCACTCGCTTTGACCACGGGATCTGCCTCCTCCGATGTTAATTCAGCAGACGTTCTCGCTACACATTTGGAGTCTATCCGTCTTCAAGTTACTGAGGCAATCAAGGAAGCAACAGATCGCCAAGCCAAGTATGCCAATATGAAGCGACGTAATCTGGAATTCGACGTGGATGACGACGTATTAGTCAAGACGACCCACTTGAATCCTGATGTTTATTCCAACGCTCCCGCCAGAAAGTTACTTCCACGGTGGGCGGGTCCTTACAACATCCTTGAACGTATTGGATCCGTGGCATACAAGCTTGATTTGCCGGCTTCGATCAGGGCTCACAATGTTTTCCATGTGAGCGCCCTCAAGAAATATTTGGAACCTGACAATGTGGGACGCAAGCCAGAACGGCCACCACCAGTGATCACCAATGTTTCTGACGACGAAGACGAATGGGAAGTTGAAGCCATTCTCGACGAGCGCAAGCGACGAAACAAGCTACAATATTTGGTTAAGTGGAAAGGTTATCCCTTACACGAGGCGACGTGGGAATCCGCCGAACACCTTTCCAATGCGCCCGAGGCTCTTCAAGACTTCAAACAATTCAAGGAAGCGACGCCATCAAAAGCTTCGGATACGAATTTACTTCCTCGACGCCGTGGTCGTCCGCCCAAACACAGACGAAACAGGTAACTGTATGTGCAATGGGTTGTGGTATTAATTTTTTTATAGTTCCTCTGGGTCTATTTCACCACGACGACCACCTTTTGGGATCTCTCGCGACGTTTTAATTTGCGGGGGGAGAACCCTAGACCGGGACGATTTCTATCCAGTCGACGCACAAAACGATCCGTCACTGCTGTAGAAGAGTTCCAGCATATGAACCCACTTGGACGCGCATAAGGACGGTGCATACTACTCGCAGATCGACGCACAGACATTAACGAGTTACAAAGGACGGCGATTGAAACGACGCAAATCAAGAATTACTTTGGACGAGTCGACGGATCGACGGCGAGCACCTGACGTTTTACTTCGAGTTGACCTCTTGAAGTAGACGGGGGAGGGTGCATACCGTTACGACGATATCCAACCTGCATGGTTGACGATCGACAACGCATGGTTTAGACGATAGGATGACTTGCGGTCAACCGCATGGTTGAATATGGAGTAATAGGCGTGGATATTCTAGATAGAAGTTATGATGTAGATCAATACTTAGACGATAGCTAGCCCCCTATTACTCGACGTATATATTAAGACGGGATCCTGAGTTATATGGATCCCTATCGTTTTATCCTTTGATATATCCGAGTCTCACCTTATTCATTGATCCACACTGTCTACCCATTCACGTTCCCAATTGTAAGTATTTGGGCCGACACTGTTACACTGTGTTTCGTGTTCTAAAACTTGCCAGAGCTAGGGCTGTCATGTAATCCTATTCAGTTAAAATTTGACGGTCAATGTAATATTCGACGTATATATAATGTAAGATGATAATAATGTGTACACCAAATAGTTGAATATTTGGAGGGCGAAGAACAAAACATGTAGTAAGAAATAAGGGATCAGGAAAATAGGTTTTGATATGATTGTAAAGAACAATTAATCCAGAGACAAGACACAAGAGCTTATATATGAGACAAGAAGAGCATAAATCGTCGAGTACGATGAGGTAAACGACATTTGACACAAAAAAGTGCAGAACTGCATAAGGGGTTATGATTCGTGTTGCTTTTTATAATCATTCATCACTGCTTTCGCTTTCATCCGAATCTATGGTGGGATTGACGGCACTGCCGAATTTAGCACTCTTTTTCATGATATCCACTGCGTCGTCATAAGAAACATTCTTATCTTCTTGGATAAGTCGTGCGGCCATCTCTGGAACAAGAATCTGCTGAACAAACTGAAGTGGTGGCATCGGGGCTGTATTTGCTGCTGTCAGGTGGTTCGATTTCTATAGTTCTTTCGTCAAACAATCCATAATGATTTGCATTCCACGGGGTCCATAATAACCAGGCTGTTTTAAACAATGATTTAGTAAGTTATTTTATGAGTGATAGCTTTGTACTTACCAAAATTTTTTCAGCCCTTGCCATTCGTGCGAATACGGATTGTGCAACACTTCGGCTATGTTGGCTATAGAATTTGGTTTCCATCGATTTGAATGTGCTTTCGGTTTTCCGACTATGATATCTTGCATAACTGGTACATAATTCATTACACATAAAGGCAAGGTCGCAAAATCGATATGAGCTGGGTAACCTTGAGCGATTCCTTCTGGTCTGATCAACATTTCTTTCCTATGAACGCTGCAGAAGTTGTATTGCTCAGTAAAGCGAGCTGGTCTGGGTTTAATCTGTGCTTCATCAAGCGGCGGCGACGAGACGTTAAAGTTCTTTAATGCGGCGTTCTTCTTGTTTCTTATGCTTCTCTTCTTTTTGTATATATTCATCGTATTGCTTCTGTACAGTAGGAGGTAAAGGTAATGGCAGGTGTGTTTGACAATGGGGACATGCTATTGCACCATGATCTAGATAGTATAACAGATGTGTTCAGAGTTACTAGAATACAAAGATACAGAGCGCAAGTTATAGGTACCATGATGATCGCCCCCATATCAATATCGCAATCAGATTCATCCAAAATCAGAATGGGCGACGCTTGTCTTCTTTTTTCTAGGCTAATTGCTGTTGAATCTTGATCCACTGTTTTTTTGATATGCAGGTACCTCCAAAACGTTTTGTGATCGTGATCTGGGTTATCTCGTTCCATTGCTGCTTATGTCGCTGTGATATCGGGGGCCATTGCATTTTAACAGATGATCGCAGCAGACCGGCTCCCAATGGTTCCCATTCACGAAATGCATAACGAACGGCAGGAGATTATATCGTTTGCCCGAAGGTAAGAGTATGGCAATGTCAGCGACGGCAGATTTTTTTCGCCCATGACCAGACGTATAGCAAGCAATCGGCCGCTCCAAAGCATTGGCTGCCAACTGAATATCCACGCTTCCGTCAAACCAGTTCTCCTTAGGACAGTCGGCCTCAATATCACAAAGGCGACGACACCATAAGACATCCTTTTGACCAGTTTTTCATATTCCGTCTGGCTGCCACCACAGATGTAAGACAAAAAAATGCTTTTTCCCTTAGCCACCACGTACTCATGCACTCTTTTTTGATGTCGGCGTATTTATCTTGATTGCTTTTATATTCGAGATACGACAAAGTTCTGAACCCACACCATCCGTCCGGCTTTATCTCGACCGAGTCTGTAATGTACGACAATGGAATATCTGGATGTATTGTCGAGCTACACAGCAAACGGTGTAAGTTCATATATATGAAACCACTACTAGCAAATATATGCCTATACCTTTGATCCCTAGAGCCTGTGTATTACGCTTTTTGTTTGGCCAAAGCTCTTCAAACCGTTCTCAATCATTGTAAGTTTACTTTTTTTGACCGTCGGGTTGGATTCGTTTTTTTCAGTATCAGTTTTTTTCTTCTTTCTGATTTTTCTTTTTCTTTCGCATCTTGTTCGATAATCTCAAAGTAAGATGGTAGCCTCGATCCAATAGCACCCTTCGGCCGTCCTTTGGTTCTGACAGCGGTCGGCAACTCTAGATCTTCAATGGGTATTGGTTTGTACTGATCTAAAGCCGTACGTATACATGATATCAAGTCTTGCTTTTGTTGACCCGTCTGCGCATCGATAAATAAGTTGTCAATTCGATCTTTAAGCTCTTGATAATCTAGCTCCAACGCATCTTCTTCAATATCGTTGATATCGGTTCCAAGTTCTTCGATGACAGGTTGTTCAGATACTCTTGCTATGTGACATGTGAACTGTTAATTCCATACCAGAATATTGACTTTAGCTGCGACATTATAAGTTACATACTTGTACTTGATACCAATTTCCATCTTTTGTCATATATATTGGGATGCAAGATTTCTTGATCATTAAACTCGTAAAAATAGTGTCTGCACGGCAAACGGTAATTGACAAAGACTTCACAGCTATTACATTGCGACGATCCCGGCGTCAAACGGCGAGCGGCAAACAATTTAGATATAACGACGTTGATCGCAAATTGCGAAATGATACCAAAAAAAGCTGATACTCTTTTTGTTATTGCTGTATCTTTAACCTTGACAACCCACTTCGATAAAACCTCCTTCTCATGTTGCATATAAGCCAGAGAATCCTTTATACGATCGCATCATTAGCATAATTTTCTATATCCAAATCTTTTAATGATTATACTCACCGATGAACATAGATATTTGTGGAACGATTTGAACAAATGCAACATTCTGTCAGCTTTACCCAAGACATCTTTAATGCGGCATGTGCTCCTTCAATGCGTCGAGTTGACCTTGCTCCAAGATGCATATGCTCCTCTGCCCATGGTCCAGCCCATCGTTTCTTGTATTCACGCAACCTAATATGCTAGAACAACAATAAAGAAGTAAAGGAACGTACAAGTCAATAAAAAGAGCAGGACATACACATTATTCTTGATTTGTATCTGTTAGCTCGCATGCAATTAAAATATCCTACATGTTCAAATACTCGTGCAACTGCTTCTTGTCTCCTCCTTTTTTAGGCTGTCCCTTGGAAACACTATCGTTGAATAATCGAATGACATCAAGAAATACGTTTTCATCTCTTGTCCAGATCATCGTCGAGATATGATTGCACAGATCGGCGAATCTTTAACAAATGTCTTGGTCACCTTGGCAACAAAGTTTTTTCTTATATGCCAAGCACACAATATGTGCGCTTTTCCGGGGAAAACCTGGGCAATTGCAGAAGTAAGACCATGATCGTCGTCAGTGACAAAAAGATGGGGCTTGATTCCGCAGCTGTCGGCCATGCCAGTTCGCCGAGTGTTTTCAGTATCCAAACATAAGACAAGGCCTTTTCATCTGCAACAACAGCTGTTCCAATAACAAACGAACGTAGACTGCGAGCACCTTTTCGGAGCAGAGGTTATCAATACCGACGATGTTGACGACAGGCATTTTGTTCATGTTTGTTTTGTATGTAGCATCAATAACTACCACTCTGGAAACATTCTTGCGCGCTCGATGCTTCGTGGGTGCGTGACAAAAATAGATTTGACTTTTTTCGTTGCACTTTCGGTATGGTAACGTGCAATGAAATTGTATGACTTGAAGTACTCCATGATAGTGGGCAGCTCATCATGTTGAGCATCATTGCTTTCCAGTCGAGATTTTAAGCTGTAGATATCTTTTGCAGTAAAACGTTTATTCGACTGTAGCTGTAAATCTGACGAGGCGGTATCCTTGCGTCTAGTTCAATGGCAATATCGACTTGTTCATGGCCTGTCATTGCCGGTACGACGCTTATATCTGGTTATCTCGTGTAAGTTGATGATTATGTGGCGGAATGTCGGCTACCGCTGTCTGCACCTTCCATTTATAATTTGTCTTCTTGCCACAGCTGGCATATATCGACCACGAGCACTGCGTCTTGACGGATCGTCACTTAGGATACCTCTTTTCCACACCATTAGCGCAAGTGTATGTTCTTGGTTTACACATTTCGGTATCGCCAGACCTGGTTCTTGTCTCTTCGTACTATCTTCATGTTCTTTCTCCTGTAACAAAATATAGCCCTAGTTATTCTCATACTATTTATTATATTTGGGTGTAAGAACCATACCTGACAACCATCTGCTGCCATCTTATCCACTTGTGCTGCTCGATGTGGTTTATAGCCACCGCCATGTTTGCATACTAATGTGCAAGCACGTTTATTCGTAATCTTACTGATGACCGAAAACTCGTTACTGATCGCATAGCCATTTACTGCTTCTTTTAGACCGTCTAAAGTGTCGAAACACAGCTCGGTAATGGATTCCATTGTATTCTTTGCGAAGAAAAAAAGAAAGGCAAACCACAAAAATTTTTTTTAATATATTCATCACATAACTAGCTGACATTAATAATCCATCGCCCGCATGTAAGCTTATTCGATTTCATTGTGGTACATATTACCG